CAGATCCCACAAGGTCATACACCCACCATGACCCAATCACAGTGACCAGGAAGAAGAGTATGCTGATGTGCCAGGCTCGGATCAGGGGCCATGGGGGGGGGGGGTAGTGGTGACGTACGTGTGTGTGTGTGTGTGTGTGTGTGTGTGTGTGTACTTTTACACAAACCTACAAATGGGTTGAAGGGGTAATGGCTGTTGGGGGTCTACCACACTTGCCTTTGTGGAGCAAATTCACAGTAAGTGCCTGGCTGAAGGTCACTCCACACATCTCAGAATTCGTGTCACCAAGACTCGGGATCTTCCTGCTCCGTCCTCCCCACTATCAGCCATAAACACTGAATCTCTGAGGTCTCACCCTCCAGCCAAGACAGCCAGGTCCGGATTCAGGGACACAGCTCCCCCTTTCTACCTGTAGAAACTTTCCGCGGAAGTCCACGCAACCGCAGGCTTCTCCTCGCCTCTCATTGGCCAGAACTGGGTCACATGGTCACCCCTCCACCAATCATTGTTTGCCTGTGGGCCTGGCACTTTGAAACTCAACAGTGGGGATTGGTCAGCCAAGAGGAAGGGGACTGCAAAAGAGGAGAAATGACGGTGTGGAGAACTCCGTGATCTGCCACATTGAGGTGCGAGGTTGAATGGGGGCCGGGGCAGTGCTTTGAGACTCATGCGGACAACAGCGGGCCGTGCCTGCTTCTGCGCCTGGGGAGAGGGGCTGGTGGGCGGGCCCCTTGTGGGTCGTCACTCCTCCCGGTTTGTCCAGACACCCAGTTTATGCCTGTTCTCCCAGTGTAATTTTCTAATTCTACTCACTTCCCATCTTGGAGGGGCTCTGGGCTGGCCACCGGGGTCCCTACAAGAGGAGCCTAACTCAGGAAGGCTGAGGAGCTCACTGGGCTGGGACCCAGGGCAGGAGTGCCTCTGCTGGAGTTTTCCAGAGGCCTCTTCACTGGGCTCCCAGCCAGGCTGCTGGCAGGAGCCTGGGGCTTGGGGGTGGGGTTGAGAATCTGGTGGAGCTTCACCAGTTACGTCCTGGGCACTCAGGAGTGGCGTGACTGCAACCTTTCCCAGACTGCCCGAGGCCAGGCTGCAGCTTTCCCAAGCCTCATTCCTGTGGCTGGGCTGAGTCTCAGGCCAGACAAGGCCGAGGACAGAGGATGGTCAGTAATAAACACCACGGTGCGAGGCGGTCTCGGGTGGCAGAACCCATGTCTTCACAGGGGCATTGAGGGGGGTGGCTCTGGAGGAGCTCTGAGTCGCAGAGAAGCTTGGGACCATCTCAAGCAGTATTTTCCAACTATATGTCGCCTCAGTGAGTGGGAGAATCAGCTCATGGAATACCACCAGCCATTTTTTTTTAAAAGAGAGAGAAAATACAAAATATCAAAAGTATAAGACAGTAGTAAGAGAAAGCATCTGTTCACAAAATTTCCTCTCAGTTTTAGTTTTTATAAATACACATATTGTATGTATTGTGTCCTGATATTAAATGCATTTCAAAAAGTCTGGAAAACAGTTGCTCAGTCAAACCCCAAAGAGGGTGATCTGCCCAAGGTTCCAGAGCAAACCAGTGTGCGCACCAGGCAGTGAGACCAGGTCCTCTGGCTGTGCCCACTGCTGACTGGGCGGTAACGTGGGGGCCCTGCTTGTGACAGTGCCGTGCCTGCTTGCATGCTGAGACACACAGACCATTTTAATGCAGCAGTTGTGCTGGGAGCCCAGAGGAGAGATATCTGGCCCAGTCCCCACCAGCCTCGGGGACAGGGGTGGGGGTCTCCAGAACCTGGTAGGTGAGTGGTAAATGCTGAGTGAGGGGATCTAGGTCAGGAGGTGCCTTATGCCTCCCTGTGCCCTGGCCCCAGGGTGGAGAAATGTTAGGCACTTCCGCTGTACCCCTGCTCCCCAGACTCCTCACCCCTAGAACAGACCCTTTCTCAGGCACCCTAGGGTTGGGTGGTCTGGGGCAGGTTGGCCTAGGTCTTCCCAGTATCCACCCCTATATGGAGGGGTATCTCTGCTGGCTCTCAGAGCCCCATTGGGGTCAGAGACACTCCTGGGCCTGGGGCAAGGCGGGGAGTAGGCCGGAAGCCTAATTAGGACACTGGAGTGGGGCTATCCTGTCTGCCACCAACGAGCCGTAAGACTTAGAGCCAATGACTTCCCTGTTCTAGACCCTGTGCCCCCCAGTTACACAAGGAGAAAGACGTGTAAAGTCCCTGAGAGCCCCCAAAGCTGAAGACCCTCCTTAACCTCAACCTCTTCCTCTAGAAGCCCTTCTAACCTGCAGTTCTGTCTCTTCTCTTGCCACAGGATCCAGGAGCAGCAGTTTGCTCCTGGCTGAGAACCCAGCCACTAACACCAAGACCCCACCAACCCTGGGCTCCCTGGGCAAACCGCCAGCCACTTCTCCCGGGAAGTCCTCCCAGACCCACCGTTTGATGGAGTGCTAGGGACCATTGATACTGGGCTGGTGTGGGAGTTAACTACTCTGGGGACCAGAGGAATACTTCAGAAAGCTGGAGCCCTCTTGTAAATTATTCAGTGAGAGAGAGGGAGAGAGAGAATGAATGACTCAGAGGATGGGGTTGCCTAAAATCGGGTAGGGCTGGGCAGAGGGTGGGCTCTAGAAGCCGCCTCTCACTGCACACCCAGAAGGAACCCGTCCTCTCATTCCCACCCTCAGCCCTGTCCTGGGCCCAGGAGGACTCGGCCTGGCTTGTTGCAGGACCCGGGCCCCCCTGTTGCCCTCCCGGAACTGGAACACTTCTGGACCAGGTGGCATGCCCTAACCTGGGGGCTAAAAACCTGTGGGGCACCTACCAGGACCCAGCCCTGTGTCATGTAACCCAGAGGCTGTGTGTGTTTGTGCGTGGGGAGGGGCACGGGAGTGCAGGGATCAAGACTTGGGCCTGGGAGAGAGAATAGCTCTCTGAGAAACTGCCCCAGACCACAAGCAGGCAACCGCAGAGCGCTAGCTCCGGTGGGCTGGAGAGGTGGGCCTGGGCGCTGTGGTGTGACATTTGCCTCTCATGGCAAGTGCCTAGGGATCTGCTCCCCACAGCACTGTCCCTGGCAGCTCCAGGACGCACTTAGGGCTTGGTAGGAGCAGAGGGCAGCAGCTGACCGAGTCCTCAAAGCAAATGCTGCTCCTACGACTGTGGCTTCTTTCTCAACTGCCTCATAAGCCCCGGAACCTCCTGGCGGGTGGCCCCAGAGGCCCCTGTCAGCTGTGGGTCCAGTTTATCCACTACAGCAACCTCCTTCCTTGTGACTTTCTAAAGGGAGGTAGAGTGGGCTTCGAAGATGAGGGCAGCCTGCTGCGTCCCCGTGGGGTCCTGTGCCTGCTGTTCTGTGGGTCTCTGGCCTGGCCTCCTCCCAGAGCTGGGGTGGGGGCTGGGGGGCAGTGGGCAGGGGGTGGTGTCAGGGGAAGCGCTGTTAGGAATGCCCCAGCCCCAGGTGCCCTGGAGAAGACCTGCCTCTCTGCAGATGGTTGCTCTGGTCCTGCAGGTCCAGGCTTGGCCCTGGGGGTGGTCTGAAGCCCAAGCTACTCCTGCCTGGCAACCCCACCCCCACCCCATGTCCCACAGAGCTCGGTCCCAGCCCAGGTCAGCCTGTCCCGCTCACCACTCACAGCTGTGGGGATTCTCCCTCCAGCCTGCACCAGGCACCCTGGGGCTGCATTGGAAAGTTGGGGGTGAGGGACCGAGAGGGACATGTGTGAGCACAGGGTTCAGCATGGGGAGGGGGAGTTGTGAAGGGAGAGCAGGCTGTCAGGGGACAGGGGAGGAGTCTTCTGCCTCTCCCTTCCTGACCACCTGGGAGGTTGCCACTTCCGTTTTCACAGCCTCCCTAGACTTACAGCAACTTTCGTTTACAGGAAACTGAGGCCCTGAGAGGAGGGCACTTGTTGGGCGGCAGGCATCCACCCTCCTGCCTCCTCCCTGGGACCCCATTCCCATCTCTAGCACTGTCCTCCCTGCCCTCGGGCCAGTCTCTTCCCTTTTAAGAACCAAAGTCTCCTCGTGTAAAATGGGCCCTTTGAGCTTGCCGAACTCTAGGCCCCTTCCTGGTCCCCCCAGTCATGTTCCCTCTGGGAGAGCTGCGTCCTGCTGGCCCCTGGCCTGGACTCCCCTTGGTCTCTAACCAGCTGTGCTCCTCCAGCAGGACCTCAGTTACTCTGAGCCTCTTCTCTCCTTTGTACAGCACCGTAATCTCCCTTGGCCCCGGACCTCGGGGCCTGTGGTGAGGGCTGTTACCAAGGATGGGAATGTGACCTGAAGCCGCCAACTCCCTGCAGACGTGCAGAAGAGGAATTGCAGAATTCTGGGGTCTCCGGGTCACGGCCCAGTGCAACCCCACATTTGAGGGCCCCAGCTCCCCCCACCACATCTCTCAGGCCGGTGAGCCATGCCACGTGGCTGCCTTTGCGTATCTGAGTCCCCACTCCCAACCGTAAACTCCCTCCAACAGGGAGCCCACACAGCCGGAGCACACAGCTGACAAGGGGCCCAGCGGGCAGCTTCTGCCGCCTGTCCCACCTGCATCCCGCACCACCAACGCTTAGGCACTGGTCTCCTGGGCCTGTGGGTGGCAGAAGACCCACAGGTTTTGCCTCCAGCCACAGCTTTTGACAGATTGTTCCCATGGGTCCTGAAATGGCTGCACGGTTTGCCCCTTTTCAGCCAAGCCTCCTCCAGCCTGCCTCCCCCACCCCAGTCTATACCCTGCCTGTGCTCCTCAGACCTTAAAGAATATTTAACCACCTGTTAAATGATTTATCCCATGGAGGCTCCAGAGCTCAGGGCATCTCACGGGCCTCCTTGAGAATTAACTAGAGCCATAAATCAAAATGACATCTGAGAAAGTTCCAGCTGCCCCAGACGCAGGCGGAGGCTTGGACCCAGTCGGGAAATGGCATTTAGAGGGGGGATGGCATTTCTGATGGAGAGACTAGGGCACTGGCTGGGAGCCGCTTCCAGGCTGGTTCAGAAGAGGTGGTGTGCCAAGGACGTTCTGCTTCTAGAAGGCTCTGTCGGGACCGCAGGCAAGCCCCCTGGGCTCTTCGTTAAATGCAGGCAGCACCGGAACTCCAGGCACACGCAGTCAGCAGAGAGCTCTCCAACCTGTTGTCTCATCTGATTTCAAACCAGCCCAGGGATCCTGCCCTGGGAACGAGTACAGTTAGGCCGAGTGTGGGATTTTGGGCATCTGCCAACCGCGGCAGGGGCAGTCTCGACCAGTGGAGCCCAACAGCGACAAGTACGGTGGAACATAGGGACCAGACAGTAACTTTAGTAGATGCACGGTGGCAAAAGAGGGCCAGGTGAGGCCGTGTTTGGATTCTGGCTTGGGTTTGAAGATGGGAGGGGAGGAGGGTAGAAGTTGGTAATGAGCACTAGCTATGTGCTAAACCCAGAGCCAAGTCACAGGGACGGACCTTTCAAATCCCATCAGAACCTAAGGAAGTGGGTATCTGCTTCTTTAAACCCCATTTTACAGATGAGCAAACTGTGGTTAAATGAGCTGGCTGAGGTCAGCAAGTGTCAGAGCCAGGAACTGAATCCAGGTTGGCCTGACTTCAAATTCTGTGCTTCTCAACCCACTATCAGGTCCTCTAAAGGTAAAAACTAAAATGTACTGGGCACAATACAGTATGCCGGTGTCCCCCAAGGGCCTTGCCTGCATTATCACCTAGAGTCCTCATAACAACCCGGGGAGGTTGGTTCTCTTATGCTGTCCATCTTACAGATGAGAAAACTGAGGACCCTAAACCCTCAGCTCTGAGGAATAGTGCCAGGGCTCAGACCCAGGCACTCTGGCCCCAGAGCCTCACCATGTTTGGAGACTCTGTGTGGACAGCTTGGTGGCAGCACCTTCCAGGCCAGAGTGAGGCAGCCGAGACATCAGGCCCTGACTTGGAGGGAGAGGAGGGTTCCACACAGAGAGGGACTCCAGCCAGATGCTCAAACAGCAGGCTTAGCCCAGCAGGCAGAGCGCTGGGCCAGGAGGCTGCAAGGAGCCCCATGCCAGAGCTGCCGGCAGCAGGCCTCAGTGGGCCCCAGGCACCCAGCCGTTATTGGCTCCAATGCAGACGGGCGGGCCCACAGCCTGGCTTGGCTCCATCCAGGCAGGTGCCCTCAGGGGTGTCTGTTCCCCATGTTTATCTGCAGTGGTGAGGGCCACCCTCTCTTCCACACCAGTGAGGGCCTCCCCATGGAGGCTGGGAGCCAGGTCCGGTGAACAAGGTGCTGCATCTTTAAGGACAGGCATGTCCCTTAATATCCCAGCTCTTGTCCCCATAACCCTTGAAATGTCCTGAAAGTGCCAGTACTGGGCACCCAGATTTTGTTTCCTAGACTGCATTGTCCCAAGGGCAGAACAAAAATTCCTTTTCAATTCGTGAGCCCCAGTTTGTGATTTTAAAAATCTCAAATTTGAGCCCTGGCTGGTGTGGTTTAGTGGACTGAGTGTGGGCTGCAAACCAAAGTGTCACCAGTTTGATTCCCAGTCAGGCACATGCCTGGGTTGTTGGCCAGGTCCCCAGTAGGGGTTGTGTGAGAGGCAACCACACACTGATGTTTCTCTCCCTCTCTTTCTCCTTCCCATCCCCTCTGTCTAAAAATAAATAAATAAAATCTTGAAAAAAAAACCCTCAGGTTTGGGAGGAGAGATGTAAAAGGCCTGCTGGGACCAGTGTACCCCCCGAAGGCCCCTGTCCAGACACAGCGCAGGGGGTGTGGGAAAGTGGCATCACAACGCTAGTGCCCCAGCAGCAAGGCAGAGCAAGTCAGCCTCTGGTAAGTGATGACCTCACACACCGTACCGCCCCTCACTCTGTCTGAGCCTCCCTGAGCTTCAGGATGGATCCTTTATTCCCACTAGAAGTGGTCTCTAGCCAGTACCTGTAGACAGCTGGGATGAGTCAAGGTCCTTCCCACAGGTTCTGTGGTGAGAGGTCCCCACCAGCGGCAGGGCCTGGTGAAGAGACCCTGCTGTGCTTGTCTCTCACTCAGCAGCCTGGCTAGTCAGTGCAGGTCCACCCCACCCAGAAAGCAGGACTTGGACATGTTCCTCCCCAACCTACCCCTTCCCAGAATGTAAATTCAGCCAGGTTCACAAGGGCACACCAGCGCCCCCTAGTGTCTTCTCAGGGCACATCCCAGGCTCCCAAGAGTAGGAGCCACTCACCGTGGGGAAAAAGGGTAAGAGACATCCCGGTGGTCCCAAACACAGAATTGAGGAGGGCAGGGTATGTTCCTGACCCCACCACCCCATTGTGCCTCATACCAACCCTGTCCCCTCTGAGCCCCAAACCTTCTACCTAAACATCCTCTCCCCCGCCTCCAGTGGTCCTTCCCATTCTGTGCCTCAGTTAATAGGCCAGATCCTAGCTGATGTTGACTCAGAATGTCAGGGCCAGAAGGGGCTCAGGGACCCATCGCCATCACAGATATGGAGACTGAGGTGACAGGGCAAATGGTGCCGAGGTCCACCTTCCTGACACGGCGAGCGATCAGCGCCTGGCGGGGTCAGTGTCTGCGTTCCAGAGCCCTGTGTGGGCGGGGTCAGTGTCTGCGTTCCAGAGCCCTGTGTGGGCGTGGTCAGTGTCTGCGTTCCAGAGCCCGGTGCGGCTACTGCTGAGGCCAGGCCTGCAGCTGCGCTGGCCTCACTGTACAAGGCCCAGCCGCACCCACCCCCACCGGCCCTGGTCCCCAAAGACCGTGGCTGGCTTTGTGGGTGTGGGGAGGCTGGCTCCCGCCTCTGAGGTCTGTGAGGACAGACAGGGCTGGATACAGACAGCAGCCGTATTCCACGCGCAGGAGCTGAAGCGCAAAGACCCTGGAACCGGAGGCTGCAGTGCGTTCCAGGGTCACAGCAATGCCTGTTGGCAGGTGTGGGGTGAGTGTGCCAGCCTCTGAGAGTGGCCTCTTTGAGCCACCACTCTGAGTGACAATATTAAAATACTCCAAGCAGATGGTAGTGATTCAGAGACTTCCAGAAGAGGCAAGGTCATTCCCACATTAACCTCTGGGTCACAGCACCATGTCCCCGTTGGGGGAAAGGGTAGGTCTAAAGCTTCGTGCAGAGGGGAGAATGGGGGCTGGAGGTAGTCATGATGCAACTTAGACCTTGGGCTCAAGGCCAAAAAGGAAGGACGAGCCTCTCTTCACAGCTTCTGTCAGTGGAGCCCCAGAGTCACCTGCCCCCGAAAGTGGAGCTAAGAGGCTGACAGGCTCTGACTGGGCTCAGCCGGCCCCTGAGTAACAAGCACATGCTATTGGTGTGCCCGGAGCTGGAAGGGACAATCAGGCACCCAGCCCAGCTGTCCCCTTCAGCTGGGGACCACAGTCCCGGGTCTGGAAGCTGCTCCAGCAGAGGCAGTGGGGCGCCTGGAGTCGCCCTGCCCGGCGCTCACCAGGTAGAGCCAGGCTCTCCGAGGTGGACTCTGCGAAGGCCCCATTTAACTGCTGCAGCAGAAGGGTCTCTAGAGGCCCTGGGCGAGGGCACCGGGGCCGCCGGGAGATGGCGGTGCTGGGTGGAGGGTCCTCTCCACTCCCCGTCCAGAGACCAAGGCATCTCCAGTTTCCTTTCCCCAGCTCTGGGGCTCAGAAAAAACTGGAAAAGCCACAGAGTCTTCAGCCCGAATCTTGTGTGGACAAACTCCTGCTATGCAGGGGTGCACCTGAACTGAAGGGGGCCGATCTCACAGAGGAAGCAGGAGAAACCTAACGCCTGACACAACGTAAACCTCGCACACTTTCTAGCTCAAGCGCCTTGCTGCGTGTCTTGGTGCTTATGCGCCGTTTCTCTCCTTTGCCTGTTGTGTGAGGAGAGAACTGTGGCAGTCAGCCCAGTGTGGGAACTGCTCCTGGCCCGATGGCTAGTGAGACTGTGAGGACACAGGACAGAGTGACCACCCTTGCTCACAGAGAAGGCTGAGGCCAAGAGGCAAAATGACCAGCCCAGGGCCCCACAGGGGTCGGGACACAGCCAGACCGGGAGCTCACACCCCTCATGCCCACTCTCCCTCCCTCCCAGTGTCACATCTCCAGCCTTGGCCTTTACACAGCAGACCCCAACCAACCCTGTCGCTGACCCCAGTCCCAGCAAGCAGCATTCAGAATGCAAGTCCCAACCCTTCTACCTTTGAGCTGAGAGCAAGCTTGGTTCTACCCAATCCCAATTCAAATTTCAGTCTCTAAAGCAACCTAACCCAGCCCTCAGCAGTCCAGCCCTGCCTGCAGGCCTGTGAGCACCCAACGGTGGAAAGCCCTGCCTGGACCCATCTCCATCCTGGCCCTTGGCAGGCAGTGTGAGGTTCAGAGAGGTTAGGTTTAAGGTCCCACAGAGTGAGTTGCAGAATTGAGTCTGGAGCCCAGGTCCCTGAGGCCCTGAGTTTCCTGGTGGAGTGGATAAAAGGAGGCCTGGAATGTGCAGGGACAGGGGTATGGCAGCAGGCTCCTTAGGCCAGCGATGCTGACAACTCCGGGGGCATGCCTCGGATGGCGGCCTCGTGGGGCCCACAGCGTCTGCAGAAGTCAGCAGCCCAGCGATTGTCTTTCCCAAGGAGAAGCCCGAAGACACCTATCTAGCCAGTGGCAGAGCAGGCAAGAGCCCAGGTCCCCTCACAGCCCTCCCAGGGCTGCCTCGGCCCCCCCCCCCCATATTCCCTTGTCCGACTCTGTGGGGGCTGGGCAGCAGAGTTGGTAGGGAGGAAGAAATAAAGCAGGAAACTGCACAAGGTCACAGATGGTGGAACACCAGTTTCTTAGTCCTCATACCTGGAGAAGAGCTTAAAAATTGTCCCTGCCCCAGAATGGCCAACCAATTGCAGGTGCCACTGGTTGATATCCATCAAATGAGCTGACCACCCTGGGCCTGCATGTCCCCATCTGCTCAGTGGGACCACACGGCTACCTCGGAAGGTTGCTCAGTGTTAGGATAGGATGAGGGACACATGGCTCAGTGTGGAAGTCCACTGGCCTTGCTTTCCCCCTCTGTCTCCCTGCCCTCCCCCATCCCCATCTCTGGGAAGTCACCTCTGGGCAGCCTTACTCTCCCCCACCTGCTTGTGTAACCAGCAATCCCCTGAGGACCACCCACTCAGTTCTGGAATCTGGCCTGCACAGATGTCTTGTTCACACAAACAGTGGTGGGGTGTGCAGATCCATTCCGAGTCCTCAGGAATGACCCAGAAGGCCGATCAACACTGTCCAGTCCTGCCCACCTCTGGAACATCCTGGTGGACCCCTCTGGTGTAGCTGGCAAGGCCCCAGGGCCTGTGGAAACGTCCAAAGCTTGGACTAACCCTGAAGACCAAAGCATGAGGCGTGACCCTGGGGCACGGGACCTGGCAAAGGGACCAAAGAGAACCCCCCTGGGATGGGGAGGGTGCTGGTGGAGACCCGGGCTGGGAGCTGGCAGTGTCAGGGCCGGGCGGGGGGCGGGGCAGCCAGCACTCCCTGGGCTGGCAGAGGGTACCCGCCAGGAGAAGACAAACGGCCAGATGGCAGAGGGAAGGCACCGGCTGCAGCCTCCTCTGGGAAGAGTAATTAAGCCTTCAATTAGCACGGGCCTGCCTCTGTCTGCTCCAAGGGGCACCCAGGGCCCCGGCTGCCCTGCCCAAGCCAGGAATTAATAACTCACTTTCTAATGAACTCAGCAGAGAGACAGCCAGAACCACCCACTTGCCTGCCTGCCTGCCTGCCTGCCTGCCAGGGCTCCAGGCGAGACACAGGGTAGGGGGTAGGCGTGTCTCTTTGGATCCCCTTACTCACCCACCGAGAGTCAAGTCACGTCATAGGCCAGCTGGAGACAGAATGGTTTGGTGGACCCTCTTGTCCCTGGGCTCCCATGCGTCCTTGAACTATTCCCAGAAAGGAAGGAACCAGAACACCAGCCTGCCAGCACAAGAAGGCCCCGAGAGGTTTCATTTCAACAGTTACTGTGCCTGACACTGTGGGGTGCTGTGCATGAAGATGCGTAGAGCTCAGCCCTGTCCTTCAGGAGCTCGTGGTCTGCTAAAGGGGTAGGGAGTGGGGAGGAAATAGACCTGAACCTGACCTTCACCAGAGCATCCATGGGCAGTGCTGTCAATGGCAGCACCTTCCAAGAGGTATGGGGGTAGAGGTCTCAACTCGGGGTGAGGGAGAGCTGCTCAGAGGTGGCCAGGTGTACAGAGAGGTCCCCAGTCATATAGTTCCAGCCTTGGTTTTCTGGGTGGATACCCTAAGGCCCAGGAAGGGCAGGTGACTGCCCCAAGGTCTCAGTTACTTGGACAGGGCCAGAACTGGAACTCAGCCCACCTCTGAGGCTGTAAAGAGTGTGCCTCCCCACATTAAACAAGGCAGATAGAGGCCCAGAGCATCACTTAACTGCTACAGTGAGTGGAGCCCTCCCGGCATCCACACCCTGCCCCAAGAAAGACTGGCCCTCCGAGGGTCCTTCCACCTGCCTCACCCCCGACAAGCATTCCAGAGTCCACACACTCTTTGCTACTGATGTGCTCTAGAGAACAGTGGCTCCCCCAGCCTGCCTTGTTGCACGGACTTTCCTGCCCCTCCCAGCCCCTCCCACCCCCACCCTCCCACTGCCCAGCCCTCCCCCAAACCCCCAGTCATTCCCCAGCAGCACCTGCTGACAGACCACCAAGAATGGCCCAGTACTGCCTTCCTCCCAGCACTGGCCAGGGCCAGGCTTACAGCCTGCTGCTCAGACCCCACCTGCCCCAGAGCCACCCAGAAGCTGGTTCAAATGCAGACTCCGAGGCCTTACTCAGGACCCAATGATCAGAATCTCTGGGAGTGGGTCACAGGAATCTGCCCTTAAAATAAGCCATTCAGCCCTGGCCAGTGTGGCACACTCAGTAGATTGGAGCATTGTCCTATAGACCAAAGGGTTGCAGGTTCAATTCCCAGCCAGGGTACGTACCCAGATTTCAAGTTCAATTCCCAGTTAGGGCACGGATGAGAAGGTAACAGATGTTTGTCTTTCATATTTCTTATTGCCCCCAAGTGCACCCCATAAAAGCAATGAAAAAATATACTTGGTGAGGATAGAAAAAAAGGCCATTCGTGTTTTTTTCCATACATGTTATAAGTGGATACATAAGTACAGAAAAGCGTACTAGCCATAAGTGAATTGCTCAATGCATTTCACAAATTTCACATCTTTTTAATCTGTGCCAGATCGAGAAGCAGAACATTAATAGGCCCTCAGAAACCCTTCAGGTTCCCTTCGTGACTTCCAATAGGTCAGGCCAGTCTCACCTGATTTTGAACTTCATGTGTCTAGAGCTATGCAGACACTTGTGTCTGGCCTCTTCTGCTTGACATTGTCTGTGAGTGTTGTTCACATGCTGCGTGCATTTTTGGTTTTTTTCTCTCAGGCCAAGCAGCACTCCAGCTCAGAACTGCTGCACAGTGTGTCCATGCCGTGCTGTCACTGGGCATCGGGCTGCCTCCTGTGAAAAAAGGGTCACTGCGAGTCCCCTTACGTGGATCTCCTGGATGCTCACGTGCACTTCTGGAGGGCGCCTGTCCGTGAGCAGGATGGAGACCCTGTGAATGACTTCCCAGCCGGCCGCCCCGAGTTAGATTGCACCAGCAGGGCTCCAGCTGGTCCGTCCTCGCTGACAGCTGGTACATTTCTGTTTCTCTTTCTGTTTGAGGCGTCCCGGTGGGTGGGAGGTGGTGCCGTCTGATGCTTTAACCTGCTTTTCCCTGGTGGCTAATGATGTGGAGCACATTTGCTTCCATTCATTGGTCATTTCCGCATCCTCTTTTGTAAAGTGCTTGTTCAGATTTTCTACCAATTTAAAAATCAAAGTGTCTGTCTTTTTCTTACCAATTTATAGAAGTTCTGTATATATTCTGGATGTTAGTCCTTTGTTGGACATATATATGGCAAACATCTTCTTCAACTTGGTGTTTTGCCTTTTTACTCTACTGATGTCTTTTGATGAATAGTTTTTCATTTGAAGATCGCCCGAGTCATCAGTTTTTCCCACACTGGGGTAACATTTCTGTGTCTGGTGCCCAGGTGATGTCAAGCACTCAAAAGTGCGAAGGGTAGGAGTGGGGCTTTTGCAGATGGACAACCGTCCTTGTTCTTCCCGAACTCCGCCCCCTTCTCAGCCAGAAACACAAAACGCAGTGGTGCTGGCCACACTCACTGAGCACTTACCCTGCACCCAGGCACTGCAGGGTTGTAGCAGACACCCCTGTAGGCATCTGCTTGGCCTGTGTTCTCTGGGCCGTGTGTCCTGAGAACCGCCCTGGAGTAGATGGGCCATGGGGTGTAGGCCCAGTGCGTACATGAGCCCAGTGTCCTGGCCAGAGATAATTGGACAGAAGCAAAGCCACACTGAGCCAATCAGGCTCTCTCTCCTGGAAGTTTGGAATCTGTCCTGAGGGGCACTACTCTCAGTCTAGACTCAGGAGCTGAGGCTGCCGTGCAGCTGGGGAATCTGCAGACACAGTCTGCAGAGAAGGCAGATGTGCAGAGGAGCAGAGGTGGAGGATGGAGGGCAGACACTCCAAGGTTACTGTGGAGGACCCTGGCCAGCAGAGTCCGCCTGTTGTGGTGGATGATGAGAATGAATGCACAGGAGACAACACTCCTGTGGAGAAAAAGGGAACAGCACGGCTACTCTCTCAAGGGGAGAACGCCTGTGGATGCCTCAGCTACTCCCTCAAGAGGGGAGTGCCTTGACCCTTGCCTAGACAGGCTTTTATTGTTTTCCTCAGGTCCTACATCAGAGAAAGATTTATTATCTATTACATAGAATATCATTGTCTACATTTTAGGTATGATCAAGGAAATGAAAATAACATGCAGAGGGGAATGGCGATGAGTTGATTAGCTCTGTCCTTGGGAAAATTTACACAGGCTTTGGAAATTACCTTGAACATAGACAATACACATTTGTTGTTTTAGACCAGAGTGATGGAGTTTTAGCAAGAGCAAGCCATAACAATCTGTATGCATTTTCTAGGCCTGATTCCCAGGGGAAAACTCAGTTTGAAGGTCTGGCTCCTGCCCACCATTTCACTTCCATAGGTTTTCCATACAGAGCTGAGTCACATTTGCCAGACCAAAACAAACCAGTCCCCTACAGGTTACCACTCACCACCTGGGTGTCAGCCCTTACGCCACACCCTTGCCCTGGGGATGTGTAGGCACCCTCTTCTTTCCAGTAAAAACCCCCTTTTTTGTGTAACATGAATCCTGTTCTTGCATCCAACAAGTCTTCGCTAAGAAGTGACTATTCTCTCAAATCGTCAAAGCACTGGAGTCTTCCTTTTTCAGAGATGAAGAAATTGAGACTTGAAAGATGGTAAATGCTTCTCCCCAAACCTGGCTGCACTAAGAACCACAGCCGAGACTCCAGCCTTATCCGCATGGCTCAAAGCCTGCTCTTATTTCTTGATTTCTTATTTCTTCACAGAGCCACGCACGCTCGGCCTGAGATCAAGGTTTCCCAGAGTGCGTTCTATGGAATGCGGGGCTCAGGAAATAAGCCTCGGGTGGGTGTGGGCATGGGCATGGAGGTAGTATTTGGGTTCCCTGACCCAGCTGTGGGGACCCGTGTGGAACAGGCCGTTCTCCGCTGCAGAGCGTTTCGGAGCCTCGGCTGGATGGGAGCCTATCGGGAGTCTACGGCACGCAGAGCTTCTCTGACCTGTGTGGCCATAGAACCCCTTTTGTTAAGAACACTTTATGAGATGAATGGTTTATGGAAAATGCTGCAAGGAACCAAATTTCTCTGGCTGTCCTAAGGTAACCTTCTGGAAGTAGGTGTCCTGGACAAATCATAGGACCTGTCCATCCCGCTGGGTATGTGGCCCCTCTTTAGCTGCCCTGGATTTACTTACAACTCTGCTTCCTGAGGGTCTGACTCACCTGAAGCAACTCCCCAGGGCCTGTGTGCCCCTGGATGAATCAACTATAGTCGAATTTCGGAATATCCCAAGTGGTTAGTGAGCCTCGCTGCGCCCGGGCTCCAGGCCTGACCGGGCCACTGTCACCCCCCGGTTCTGCCCAGCCAGCCCCTTCTCAGCAGGAATGAGCCCTCGGAGGGACGAAAGAGAAAAGAGAGAAAAATGGGACAGGGCTAGAGAAAGGGCAAGAGGACAGGAGAGGAAGGAAATGGTCAGAAAGCAGACGGCCCCTCGGACAGGAGACAATCTGCCGAAGGTGCACACGGGACTCTGACAAACCATCAGGGTGCCTCTGGGGGCTGGCGCCACGGACCCAAGGTGGGACGTGCCCAGGGAGGTGGGCAGGGAGGAGCCGCGGCGCAGGAGCCATGAACGCCCACCCGTCGTGCCCTCACCCTCCGACCTCCCACCACACGCCTGGAATCCAGCTGGAGGCCCACAGGGCAGGGGGCCCGCTGTGCTGACAGCACGAGGCAGGGTGGGGAGGAGAGGAGCTGGGTGAGGGGGAGATTGTCCGGCACAGGGAGGCTGGGGAGAGGGCTGTTGGGAGAGGAAGAGGAGCAGGGAGATAAGAACACAGGGCAGACCAAAAGGGAGGGCCTCGAAAGAAGGGAGAGAAGGGAGGGGAGCCTCAGGAGTGGAAGTGGCTTTACTCAGCCCCTGCTAGAGGCATGGGGTCTTTGCCAAGGTCCAAACCCCCAGATCTCGAAGTATCAGAAGAGCCCACTCTGGGAGGCAGACGTGAGCGCAGCCCCTGCAGAGGGACGCTGTGGCCCCTTCCCCACTCCCCCCACTCCCACCTGTCTGGTGGGCGGGTGGGTCTGTGCTGAGATCAGATGAGCAGACAGGCCTCTGATGTGGGCAGTCCTCCCTTGATACAAGTCCCAGTGCCTGAAAGGTTGGGAACATAAATCAATGCCAGGCAGAAAATCCTCATTGAAATTCACCAGGAAAACACTTCACAGAGTCTCCTAGAGCGAGTCTTCTCCACGCAGAACGATTGCCATCCATTTGGTTTTTGTCTAAAAGCAGATGTTCAGACACAGAAGTGGTTGAAAGTAGACCTGCTGTCTAAAGGATTCATTACGGGGACATTTCAGCCCGACCGGGACAGGTCACGGGCTGCCTCCGCCTCCCACCTCCTGGGTTGGGGGAAGCTTGCAGGCCCTCACGCTCCCCTGGCTTCACCCCACTGGGATCTGGTGGCTCTGAGGAGGGTGTGTCGGCACTCAGGGACCACTCAGGGACCACCCGGGCCTGCCAGCCGCCCAGCCCCGCCATCGGCCGGGCCTGACTCTCTCACCACCAGCTGCTCCCTGGACCTGGCCTGGAGGGGACACGGGGAGAGTCACCTTCCCCACTCATTCCAAGCACAGAAGCACCAGTTCCTTTGGCAAGATGAAGCCAGGAGCACTGTGACCAAGCCAGGGAAAGTGATATCTGAGGCCGAGAGATCCATCACAGAGGGAAGCAGCTGCTGTAGATCAAAGCAGAGTCCCTGTTCCCCGTGTCTCTCCATCATCATTAGCAGAGGGCAGAGCTGGGGGAGGGACCGGAAGAGAGATCTTTAAATCCAGAGTCAAGATCTCCTCCCCCAGAGGCCTCCCCCAGGGGCACCCGGTGGAGGTGAGGGGGCAGCTACTATGCCCGCTGAGCCCAAGGTATGTGGGGCCGAATTCTGAACTCCAGGCCCAGGACACATGCCAGGGAGGAGAAAGTATCTTGACTGAGTCCTGAGAATGCGTTGCCGGGTATCCAGGATATGCTTGGACAGACAGAGCACCATACTAGGGGAGCCGTTACCTTTGGAGGCTTAACAGGAAAACAAGATGCCACTGGGAGAATCTTGAACGTGGAGGCCCTTCCCGAAGCGCCCACTGATGGGTTGTACATGTGGGGCGGGGGAGATGTGTAAAAGTTGGTTTACAGTTGTTTGGATGGAAAATAATACAATAATTAATGAATAATAATAGACTTCCGCCAAGATGGAGGCATAGGTGGAGACACCGTGCCTTCTCACACAACCAAGATTAGAGAAAACTAAATATTAGCAACAGAAAACACAGCCAGAACACGGAAAATTGAACTTTTCGGAAGTCCGTTAACAACAAATTCTTCAGCCTGACTGGTAAGGGGCGAAACCAGCGGCTGGCGGAGCGGGGTTGCACAGGAAAACTCGGTCAGACGCGCGGAATCCAGGCGCAGGGTTGGACCTAGTGAGCGACCGAGCGAGCAACCAGGCGAGCGACCGCGGGGGGAGACAGCGGGGCAGCGGGGCTGCGTGTTGACTGAGGTCGCGCATTTGTGCGCGGGTGGACAGGCAAGGGAGTGGGCGGTTGGACCGGGCCGGCAGGTCCCCACGGCAAGCGGCAGTGGAGGGTGCCGCCATTTCCCTGCTCTGACCCCACCTCCACATACAGCGTCATAACCCAGCGACTCTGAGTGGCCCGGCCCAGGTGAACCACCTAAGGCACTGCTCCTCCGCATCCAGCTGTGAGAAGCGGCAGAGGAGGTCGCCATTTCCCCGCTCTGGCCACGCCCCCACATACAGCATCACAACCCAGCGACCTGGGAATCCAAGGCGCCCCTTCTCACTTAAAGGGCCCGAACAGACCAAGAATGGCGCAGGAGGATCTCAGAGCCCCAGAGCCTATAGATCTAAGCGATGAAGAAATAGCAAAACTCACAGACGCACAGTTTAAAACATTGGTGATCAGGATCCTCACAGAACTGGTTGATTATACCGACAAATTAGACAAATATATGAAGGCGA